TTAATTCAACATATTCTTGAGCTTATACCATATGTCTGACCTTATAATAAGTATATGAGAGAATGGGGAGCTTGGAATCTAGAGCAGGAGCAGGCAAATATCTACTTGTAAAGGCACAAATGGGAGATGATTTAGGTTTTATGGGCCATACCATCTCTGAAACTACCTAACTCTGCCCTTGCAGTGTGAAAGCAGCTATTTGTAAATGAATAGGAGTTCCTGTGTTCCAATAAAACTTTATGCCTAAAAAAATGCAGGCAGCAGGCTGGATTGGCCTCTGTGCCAGTTTCCTGATCCTCTATTCCAATATTTGGTCTTCTTGACTTATGTGTGTTAACCACCCACTTTTGATGCCCGCTTTTTTAAGTTCTGGAAAGCTAATTATTCCTACCTCTCTTAAAGCCTATTTTATGTATCTTTTTCCTACTTACTTCTAGTAGGCTGGTATTTCTCCAGGTCCAGTTTTTGGTCCTCTTGTTTGCCTTCTTTAAACTCCCTTAACATCACACAGTGTGTGAGTTGCTCTCCATGCTAACCATTCTCCAGAAGGAATTCCTACATTTCTGTCTGCTGTAGGTTCTAGGTATTTTGTCCATCTGAATCACTGGCACCTCACACTTTGTACAACAAAAAAGTCATTGTCATTTTCATCTTTCCAGACCACCTGCTTTTGGCCCTGTTCTTTCTTTCTGCCTATCTGTCCCATGGAGTTGAGATAGCAGTGAATTGTGACGACACATAAAACACCAACATAATGATGAGAACACATGAGGCAGTCAGTAAATGCTAATTCCCCTCTTAATGCAATCAATATCTTGATTTGAAACCTTGGAGATAACCTTGACCTCTTCTATTTTGCAGCACATCCAATACACTGTGTTCTTTTGTTTTATTCTACAATCTCTTGCCTCTGACTTCTTTTCCTTCTCAACACCATTTCCTAATTTAAAGTTCTCTATCAGTTAGAAGTTACATTTGCTGCACATGGTAACTGCAACAGTAACAACACAGCAAACTTACATCAGCTTTACCCAGTGGAGTTTGATACTTCTCATGGAACATTATATCTGGAGGTAAATAGACTCAGGCTGGTGTGGGGGCTTTATAATGCCATCAGAGAACTGATGTGTCTCTCTTTTCTCAGCTTTCACAAATACCATTTGTCATCATGCTTTTCACTCTGTGGCCACAAAGTCATGTTCCATCTCTAACTCTACATCTATATTCCAGGCCAGAAGAAAGGAAAGGGCAAATGGTAAAAGGCCAAAGAACTAGAGCCAAGTGCTGTGACTCACACCTCTAATTCCAGCAGCTCAGGAGGCTGAGGCAGGAGGCTCACAAAGTGAAAAGCCAGTCTTAGCAACTTAGTGAGACCATGTCTCAAAATAAAAAATAAAATAGGTTGAGGATATGGTTAGGTCCCCCTGGATTCAATCCTTGGTACCAAAAAGAAAAGAAAAGAAAAGAAAAGAAAAAAGGAACTCGGTTAAGCACTACCATTTGTTGTGTCACTGCTGTGTCAGGCAGTATGTGATTTATATGTTATATTTAATTCTGATAAGAGTGTTTGTGAGATGGTTTCCTTTAACTGCAGCCCCTCCCCCACCTATTACAGATGAAAGCACTGAGTTGCAGAGCAGTTAAGGAACTGGATGAAGATTATGCAGCCTTAAAATGGCCAAGCTGAGATTTTGAACCAGGTGCTCTAAGTCCAGAGCCCAAGTTTTGTACTACAATCTTTTTGCTTTTCCAGAGAAAAGCACTAATAAATCAGGCATGTTTTCACTTAGTAAAACTCTTGGCCATAACCGAAGCTCCCTGGGCCAGTGACTGCCTGTTCTGGGATGGGTTTACCTTTACTGGGGCAAAGGGGAGGTATGGGTTACAGATCAAGAGCTAAGGTCACACCAGGAGGTCTACACTGAGTCTTTGCAATAGAAATGGCCACTTAAAGCTCTGACACATTATTAGAACTGCCTTCCACCAAAAAGAAATACTGTAGGAAAGGGAGAATAGGATTTCAGACTATTTACTTAAGAAAATACATTAGTTCTACTCAGTTCCTGCTAAGTAGAGGACTTGCCAGGGTGCTTGTAGCAGTATTCTAAGAGCAGACTGAAAAATCATTAACATTCATCTTACCATCTTACCCATGGGATCACTCTATAGAACACACATTCACTTTTATGGAAAGTAAAGGTAGAGCATTGGAGGGCTTGGAACAATTTTTATCCCACGTATTGGGTTCTCCAGCCACCTCTCAGTAGGCAGTTCCTGCTAAGCATAACTAGCAGGCCCCTGAGTTCCATTTTAAAAATTTATTTATTTATTTATTTGTTTGTTTGTTTTAGGTGGACAAAATATCTTTATTTTCCATTTTTGACCCATGGGAGCAACAACTTGGCCTACGAATTGCTGCTCCCTTATAGAATAATGGGCCCTGGCTTGTGCCCTCATAATAAATTAGGGGCTCTAACTTTAACTATGTCTGCCTTAAACAATACCACTCCTTGCCATCTATCTCTGCATATATTCCATCTTGCTCAAAGGTTGCTGATGCCTTAAACAATACCACTCCTTGCCATCTATCTCTGCATATATTCCATCTTGCTCAAAGGTTGCAGGCATTTTCCCTGATGTATAAAAGGAAAATGGGCATCTGGCTTCTTCAGGGAAGGAAGAAGTATTGTCTTTGTTACTCGTCGTTTTTCCCAAAGTGATTGGATGATGATCACATTTTGACTTAATATGCTCCATGGCTCTAATTCCTGAAACTATGTGCAGAAAGAGGTTTGAATAGTTTGTGACACTAAAATAGTTCCTTGACAATCATTTATAATTTAGTATACATCACTGGAATTACACCCATTATTAGTTAAACATAGTCTGCTTTTATAATACATAATGCCATAGGTCATTTAGTTACTGGTGATTTTTATGATGATTTTTATTGTTTTGCCATACTGTAAAAATAACATGTTCACATTTTTAAAATTAAGGGGAGTAAATTTTTTTTATTGGTTGTTCAAAAAATTACAAAGCTCTTGACATATCATATTTCATACATTAGATTCAAGTGGGTTATGAACTCCCATTTTTACCCCGTATACAGATTGCAGTATCACATCGGTTACACATCCACGTTTTTACATATTGCCATACTAGGGACTGTTGTATTCTGCTACCTTTCCTATCCTTTACTATCCCCCCTCCCCACCCCTCCCCTCCCATCTTCTCTCTCTACCCCATCTACTGTCATTCATTTCTCTCCCTTGTTTTGTTTTATTTTTCTTTCCCCTCACATCCTCTTATATGTAATTTTGTATAACAATGAGGGTCTCCTTCCATTTCCATGCAAATGTAAATAAATATAAGCAAAAATATATTGAAAATCTCATATCCCAGAGATGACTTCTAATATTTTGTTTTTTAATATGCATATGAAATGTACTAATTCTATCATACTATTTAACTGACTTTACTTGATAGCCTACCATAAATATTCTGATATTGTAAAATATTTTATGGAACATTGATAGCTTAATATATTTTGGGTAGACCTTATACTCAAATATTCCATCTACTACTTACTCCATTCCCCATAGGAGACTGTCTTTCATTGTTTTCTTTTTTTTAAATTATCTTCCCAGAGTTTCTTTACATAATATAGGCAAATTTGAATATATATTTTTATTCTCCCATGAGTTTTACACAAAAGCTAGCACTTTGTTTTCATACTCTAATACCTCAATTTTCTAACAATCTTTCACTCTTTCTGCAGCACTGTTGATGGCGTCATTATTATTCCATTACTTGATTAAAGTATTTTAACCAATTTCCTATTTTTGGCTATTTAGGCTATCTAAAAACATTCTCATAGATTTATCTTTTCATACAATCCATGATTATTTTCCTAGGATAAATTATTTGGAATTCTTTGCTTGACCATTTGCTCCTTGTTTAAAATGACTCCTGAAAGATTATACCACTTTATATCTCTCCCAGCAACCATCAACAGTAGGTAAAAGGAACTTAATTTAAAAGAGGCTAGTTGCAACAGTGAACATTTTGAATATTATATACAAGAAAAAGTAAGAATAGAAATTCAGTGGGTTAGTGGTTTTGAAGTCATGGCAGGAGAGGGATTCTGTAAGAGGTAGTCAGGCATCCTTGAAAGAACATGTTGGAATGGAGTGAGACGTGAGTTCTGGTCTTGCCTCTGATGTGAATCTGGGATAGGTCTTTAAGTCTGTTTTCCAATCACTGAAAAAGGGAAGAATGCTTACTGGGTTTATCTGGGTTCATTTTGTTCTAAAAGAATTTATGAATATGTGGGAAACTTTTCTAGCTCTAAAATTCCTCAGTTTTATAGTTGTTGCTTCTTGTTCAAAGGAAATAAAAATTGAGCTTCTATTTAGGGTACTGTGTTTTGAAGGGACAGGCCTTCCTCTTCCTAATGCTCTGTTATTAATTTCTCTTCATTTCAGTAAAGGCTAAGCTTAAACTTCTCACCACCACATAGGGTAGCCCCTTAACTTCCATAGATGAGCCTTCACAAAATTCAGGGAGAATTAGAGAAAGAAAGTTAAAACTACAAGAGATTTCTGGCTGCATAGTTATATGCATATTTTTTAAAACACTCAGACATTTATTTTTAGATAGGTAATGTTAATCTGCAAAGCAGGAAGAGACAATCATGTGGTTCCTGTAAATACCAAATTTGGGATGGCGGTGGTATTAGCTTTGGCTCTTTGTGGTGCAGTGATTTAACATATGGCAAAAAGAGTGGCAATGAAAAACTGCCCCCTGTCAGGCCTTCCCAATGTGGGCATTGGTCATCAGCCAGCTTCCATGGGCAAGTGTTCTACTGGTCAGCTCTTTGTCAAAGCTGTTTGTCATTAGAAGCTTCCCTGACTCCACCAAGTGAGAACTTTGGTCACTAAGATAAGATTGGTCAAGAATAAATACCATGTCCAGTCATGTCCTTCCTTTCTCTACAGCAAGCAAGCTAAAGAGGAGCCAGGCAAGCAGGAACTGGAAGCCTTAATTGACACAGTCCAGAAGCAACTGAAAGATTATTCATGCAAAGATAACATACATGAAGCATTTCAAGCTCATGACAAGGAAGCATTAGGATATGTGGACAGAGAGATGTTCTTTAAAATCTGTGAATCCTTTAACATCCCAATTGATGACTCCTTGGTTAAGGAGGTTGGTATGAATTCCTTTTGGGGGTTGATTGTAGAGGCTAAGCACCAATCATTCTTTCCTAAAGGCAATTGTATGTGTATTTTGTTTTAAATGAGGGAGATTTAGGATATTCCAATCATAACTACTGTCCTTGATTATGGTATTTTCCCCGATTCTAGCATTGGCATCCTTGTTTAATTTCTGTTGAAGGGCTTCTCAATAAGTGGGCCTGGGACTAGATAGCACAGAGTGTTGATAGACCAATACGTCAGGGCTGAAGGAAGGCAGCAGAGATGACCCTGGATGGGGAGCTTCCAAGAGGAGACCCAAAGACTAGTTGATTGAACAGGATGGTGGAAAGCCTTTAATGCCCTTCACGGCCAACGTGTAGCTTAGCCCCTCAGTAGGGCTAGCATGTGGACGCAAACTCTGCCCAAGCAGTATGTAAGGGGTATGGTCAGCCACAAATAGACAAAAGGCAAGGAAGTTCTTCTCCTAGAATTTTCATAAATCAATTAAGTTTCATGCTGTTCCTTCATTACTAATTCCTTTAGTCAGGGTTCTCCTGAAAGTTAGAACAAAATCCATCCCCCTAACACATTTGCCAAGGACTCTGGCTTACTAACTTCAAAATATTCACACTAAGAACATTGAAATTCTATAGCCCTTCTTGAAGATATTTAAGCAAAAACCCAAGTTCAGAATTAAAGATTCATTTAGGAAAGGATTTTGTTTAGGGCTAAAGTGACTAGGTTATAGATGAGTAGTTTTTATGAACAGGAATATTAGCAAGGAGTAGAGGCGGGCAGAAAGAAGAGTATTTGTTCATGTGAGCCAAACATCCAGTTAACTCCCCATACCTTATATTGACAGCATGCCTACTTTGATTTTTAGTAATTTATACCATATGACATGGGAACTGACTTGGGAGAGAGGAATAGCTGTCATTGGGAAGTGAGACAGGGAAGGGAAAGGTGGGGTAGTTTTGCACATGTCTTACAAAGACAACCACAGGAAATCATTCTGTTATCAGTCACAGCTGAGTTTCAGGGGACACCGTATAAACAGTAATAGAACTAGATTCTTTTATTAGGTTGCAATATTAGGAACCTACTATATAAGAGTCTTATTTCCTGGTAGACAAAGGCTTCTACTTGAAACAATTTGCTTTGAAAATGACAGCACCCTTATAAATATGGGTGTTCATCTTGAAATCTTGGGCAGGTAATTTATACCATCCAACTTTGGTTTCATTAAGTTGAAGATGATGGCAATGTCTGACCTACATACAAGGTTCATAGGATCATTTATGAATCAACTGAGGATATAAAAACTGAACTTTGGGTTTACAAAGGTGGGGGATAAGTGTGCTCTGCAGTTAAGTTGAAAGCCCACCTGTCTCATTTGTTCTCTTTGCTCTCTTCTGCAGTTAATCAGGATGTGCTCTCATGGAGAAGACAGAATTGACTATTATAACTTTGTTCGTGCTTTCTCAAACTGATATGGCTGATGAGAGAATACAATATAATTTTTTTATGTTGGAGCCACAATTGGAAATATATCTTGTAGAGCTCCTGAAGTTATATTTCTTTTTTGATTATATTTCACTTCTCCAAAAATCTCAATTAAATTGGTTTTTATAGGATTAGTGCCTTATTTTGGGTGGTTGGGGTATTGTCATGGTTAATTTTATGTGTCAATTGACTGGGACACAGACTACCCAGATATTTCATCAAACATTATTCTGACTGTTTTTGATTCAGAATACATCTGAATTGGTAAGCAAAGCAGATTGCCTTCCCCAAAGTGGTTGGGCCCAACTATTCATCTGAAGGCCTGGACAAAACAAAATGGCTGACCCTCCCCTGAGTACTAGCAAATTCCTCCTGCCTGACTGCCTTCAAACTCAAACTGAAACAACAGTCCTTCACCTTCAGGCCTCAGAAAGGAGCTACACCATCGGATGTCCTGAGTCTCAGGCATTTGGACTCAGATTGGAACTACACCCTCAGCTCTTGCTCAGCTCTAGTTTGCCAACTCACCTTCAGCTTAAGGAGCTTAGGCTCCAAAATGTGAATCATTTCTCATGGTAGTAATCATTTATACTACTACTCATTTCTTTCTTTGTATATGTCTATACACATACATACACATTCTATTGGTTCTGTTTCTGGAAAACTGTAACATATAGCATGATTAAGGCAGGATGAATGAGAATTTTCTAGAAACATTTGGGATATTGAAAATAAGTGTATAGCATTGCTGTTGCTGCCAGCCAGTGGCCCCCACCACTACCTACCTGCCTGTCCCGCTATTGTAGAGAAACATAGTATGTGTTTTAAAAACTCTGGTTCAAGGCCCATTAGTCAACCTGCATTTTTAAAAAATGGAATATAAAAGATTGGTGTGGAACAAATGTAGAGTATGTATTTTCATGAAACTTGTTTCCTGAGTGTATTTGATGGGTTATGAAGTAAAATGTTTTTCTTGATATGGGTGTTGATTAAAAAAGTAGAAAACCTGCTCTTTTAGAGAGTCTGGCATTAAGATAGTGCGGGAAGACTGGTAGCAGTTGTTGGCTCTCTAATGAGTTCTAAATGACTTTCTAGCCAGTGCTGCTCTTTAATCGAAGTCAGTTACCAACTTCATCTTTTCAAATGCCATCTCAAATTCTTCCGGGTCACCCAAAATATGGCACGAATGAGGATGGACCAAGGATGCCTGGGCCTCCTCAGAATTGCTGGGAAGCTGCCCTTGATCTTTCCTTCCCTAATGAGCTGTTACCTTTAACCAGTTTAAAGGCTGTAGATGCATTGTTGATGCCTCCTTTTGCTCCAGTTTATTATCTCAGGAAGAACTCATATTTTGTTTCCTTCAGTCATTCATAGCTATTTTAAAATTCTCAAATATTTAAAAAGTCCACTTCAATCTTTAAAAATACTAAATTCTATCCTGTTTTCCCAGCTCAGTCTTGTCTCAGGCCTGGAAGCCATTAGTAGAGTGTATGTGTTGGGACAAGCCTTTCTCTGGCTTTTGTTCCCTCTGTCTCTATTCAGGCCAGCTGCTGTTTGGGCCCAAGTAGGATCTAGGAAGGGTTAGAGGGCAGAACCAGAGGAAAAGGGAAACTTCTCATTTCTGTCAGGTAATATCATCATAATCTGGGGTGAAGGCTGAGTACCGTGTGTCTCAAGCCTATTCTTAGGTCACCTTCACACAGGGAACCTCCTTGTGCACCATTCTCAGATGCAAATGGTCTAGTAGCCAACTGACTGCCCTGCTATAACAGTCTGCTGCCCAGGTTCTTCATCTGTCAGAATGGGGCCCTTTCAGCCCTGCCAGGGTGTGTGCACGCATGCTGAAAGATTCTCTTGGTTCTGCAGTTAGGTAGCTATCCTTGAGACTTGTTTTAGATGAGAATCAGGCACCCCAAACCTTGTGCTCTCCAAACTCCAAGAGATACGTCAAAACACATCTGTTAAAGTCATCCCCACCCCATCTACCCCTTACTTAGCTTGCTGACCTGCTATATCCTGATGCCCTTTTCAGAAGTCTGCAGTCTCCAATCCATTCTCCATCATCTCTGCCTCTTGAAGAAGACAGAAACTCACAAAAGCTTTGGGTACCTCTAATGCAAATCTTTCATGGATCAGTCCAATTGGCAGCATGTGGAAATACCAATTTTTGTCCTCTGCATCGGGCCTTAGCTGAAATGGAGATTTAGGAACATCCTCTTACCTGCCCTTTGAAATCCAAGTGTTTATAGACTTTCTTTTTATTTCCCTTTATTTTTTCCACCAGATACAAGAAACATCTTTCTATTCAATTACTGAGTACTAGGATTAAACTTTCAGCCCCACTACAATTATTAGAAGCATCTCAGCTAGGTTGAATAAGGTTCATATATTCCTCAAGTTTGCTTTCTACTTCTCACCTGGCCTCCCTTCCCAAGCTCACCCAAGATTGAGAAGCTAAGATCTGACAGCACCATCACAAGGTAAGAGCACTATCTCATGAAAGACCCTAGCCAGCAGGGCATTTCTTTGGTGTCCTCACACTGTTCACCCGTTAAGTTTCCACAAGGCAGATACTGTAGGAATCACCAAAATCAGAGCAAATCACTTTCCTACTAAAATCCTGAATGGCAGTGCAGCCATTAGACGTCACTAATTACCACATGCCACAGTTACAGCTGGGCTCAGGTGAAGGAAGACAGCAGAGTTAGTCTACAGCAAGCAATATTGCAGGAAGAAATGTCCATCATTTCCAATTGGCCATCAATGAGTTTAGTCAGAAATAGAGAATTTCCATTACCAAGTAGCACCGGCATTGGAGGCACACTGGAAGCCATAGCTATCAGCTCTAACTGAAGGATATGTCTAAGACTCATGAGGGTGATTTGTGGATTCAGGGCTAATCCTATCTTGTGGAGGAAGATAGTCTGTGAGGTAACCACTACTGACTATCCTGAGCTGGCACCCTGTCTGTACCACTAGGGGGCCTTGAAAATGCCACCTAATAATTAGGTATACTAAACCCATATCTTTGAGGGTGTTTGGGACCAACAAGTAGAGAAGACTTCTCTAAATGTTTCCAGAGAATCGAGGTTCACTTAGGTAAGTGACTCTTGAATATTCATCTTGCTGGCACCCAAGTATGAACAGGTTCACTTTAAAAAAGTGTTTGACAGCTTTACTTATTCCATGAACTTAGTATTCACTATCACTGTTTCCTATAAAACAAAAACAAAACCCCTAGCTAGGTCACCTATCTTCTCTCATGAGGGAGGTTAAGCGCTGGAGTCTCCTGGTTTCTCACACACAGCAGGACTCCAACTCAAACCTGCCAAAGCTCCCCCCTCCCCGATTAGGTCCACTCACCTTCACCTCAAGCAGATGCTCTCTGGTAATTCTCACCCTGTGGGTGTCTATGACCAACTATACCTGTCACTGAACTCATCTCCTGAGCTTCAGCTACAGGAAACAACAGGCCATATAAGTGACATCAAAAATCCTAAGTGCCCACCATTACTACTAATACTGGGATGTCTTCTAGTCAGCACCAACATACTTGGTGGCACTGAAGCATATGTCCTCTAAGCCAAATGACGTCATATGATAGCAGGCATTAAGCATAGAGAGCTTCCTTCTGGAGCCGCCTGCTCACGAACCCCATGCTAAGAAAATCCCCTTTTCTACTTTACTTGTTATAGATTGAATTAAAATGATACATATTACCATCTAGTACTTTTTATAACTGATTCTCCATCCTTCATTCCAATTCCCTGATTCATATCACCACAGTGAACAAATGTATTTCAAGAAACACAGAAATGACTATGGAGTGAAAAGTTTTAGACATGAGGGCTAAAACTGATGTAAAGTCATTGTCAAGTAAACATAAGTATCCAGATTAAAAAGCACTCCTACATAGAGGCATGTCAAGTTATTTCAGAGACAATTAAGACTGATAATTCTATGCCTTTTATTCAGTTATTACAGAAAATATTTGATCATTTGTTTCAAAATGTACATTAAAAAATCCATACAAAACTGTAATTTGTTTTAAAACCAGACAGAAACAGTGGAAAAAGGATTTTGAAAAAAGTTCACCAAAAGTAAAATAGACATCCCTCCCCCCAACCCTTTTACATGAAAGCATAAATACGGCAGGTACAAATTTTCCTTGAGTTCCTTGTGGAAATTTGGTCCATAACATGAACAGGCTAAAGTAGAAAAACAAAGACAACTTGTCCACATTTGCATTATGAGTTGCTCAGGGCACCAGCAGCCTCAGTTCATCCTTCAGATGTTTATTTCAGAGGAACTGAAAAGTGAGGTTTGTAGTCTCAACACATAAACACTCGAGTCTGCACCCAACAGGACGGTGGTACTCACTCCCACAGCCAGACCTGCTCAGACCTCAGGGCTCTCCACCCAGGGCTGATTCTCCATCCTCTCCATGTGCACAAGAAATTCTGAAACATTTTTACAGAGTGATGGTGACACCACGGGCCTCACACAGATTGTATTCCCAGACGCTGACTTAGGTCCCATCCTGAGGATGTTTTTTTCTCCTTTTCAACAGATTTTTAATTTTTAAATATAAAGACTTCTAAGATGATACCACACGTTCTACAAGAGGGCCACAGAAACCCACCCAGCATCATGAGTGACAGCAACATGGGGAAATGGCTGACATTTCTTCTGTAAGGGATGATGACTATCCCTCCCAAAGGTCCCTCCTCCCCACCTATTGCAGGGCAATGTAAGGGACAGAAGGGCCTGTGGAAAAGCCCACGGGCTGGGAGGGTTATTGCACAACCCGGAAGGGTGGGAACAGGCACGCAGGCAGGTGAGGGGCAGGGAGGAGGTTGTGGCTACTAACACAAGGTCACCCCAATCAGGAGCTGTAGCAGTTCTGCAAGTGCTGGACTAAACTCTCTGCCAAACAGGTAAGGAGTTAGGTCTCTGGACCAGGAAGTACAAGTAAACACCTTCCACAAACTTTGGGAAGTGAAATAGATCAGAAGAGGTTACAGCAAGGGTGCCTTTGTTTCTAATATGGGGTGAGAGGAGACAAAGGTCAGGGCTTCTGTGTGAGGCAGGGTACAGGGGCTGCAGGGGTAGTGCTGGAGCCTCGGTGCTTCCCTTCACAAGCACAAGGCACAGGTGCCTGCCCTTGGGCCACTCACAGGCTTCTATAGCCCTCCAGCAGGCCAGAAGTGAGCCTCTACAGGGAGAGGCAGAAATGAAGCAGATAACACAGAGCCTACTACTATGTGGGGAGGGTGTCAAAGTAAATGAGGAAAAACTGTCGGTCCGTGTCCCTTTTATATGTACTGTACTGAGTGAGGTATGATGGTGTCCTTGGCTGCATATGCTCAAAGCCCAGAGCCCTGGCAACTGGGGGCTGGCCATACAGTACAAACGAAGGCCACACGGCAATATAAGGCACTTATTACACAAGAACAGATCTGCTTAAGACAAGCACAAAAATTCTACGGGGGTTACCAAACACTAAAAGGCTACGTAGAGCCTGCAAGTCTGAATGCTTTTTATCTTCAGGTGTGCTGATCCAGCCATCTCCATAAAAGAGGACATGAGTGGGAGGTGAGGCCACAAAGGAGGCGTGGCCTTTTCTAGCCTCTCAGGAGGTGTAGTTAATACTCATGCAAACAGGGAGAAGGTGGGAAGCTGGTGAAGGCTTCCTCACAGTGGACCACGGGCCAGAGGGCTCCAATTTATTCTTAGGTTTTCAAATGAACTGATGGTTCTCCAGTAACCACCACTCTCTCTCCTGAGGAAAAAGACTGTAAACTCAGGAGCAGGAGAGGAGAAAGACCACCCAACCGCCCTGACTCTCGGGCCCTCAGCCCTCTCCATCAGTGGAGAACAGAGGCCATAAGGGTTTAAGATC